TGACTATATTTCTGTTTCTCTTTCTCTCTCTTTCTCTTACTCTGTCTCTTTCTTTCTCATGGAAATGAGACTTTTTTTTTTTTTCAGTTTTTACTGTAAAGAACGTACACTTGGCTAGAGACAGAAAGAGACAAGGAGAGGGAAAGTGATAAATCAACATCCAGGGGGTTGGCTATGCTACAACACTTTCTTCATTCTCTTCCTAGGATATGGGGCATGCACACATGTTCCCCACATGGTTTTCAAGTTGCTAGGTCTGGGACTCAAACTGCGGTGGGCCATGTGGGAGTCTAGCACCCTAACTACATCACCTGCTAGCCCCAATAAATAAACAAGCATTTTTAAAAAGCAATTACTATAGTATACTCTAAGTTTTGTTTTAAAAAATCATATGGGGTACATCCATATTCATTCACTAATTAATTTATTCTTTCTCTAATATTTATTAAAATTTACTATGTACAAAGAATTGCCTGGTACACTGGGGTAAACAATGGTGAATAAGACCAAAATTTAATAGAGGTTTTATCTGTCTGGAGGAACAACATATAATTGTAATTTATTCTGCCTTCCCAATGTTTTTCCAATATTCTGTGAATAAATACATACTTTTCTTGTGATAAGAATAATGTATTTTTAAAATATCTTGATCTAAGGAACATAAACTTTGCTTAAATTATGTTTAGTGATAAATTTTAGCATTATAAGAATCTTGAAAAAATCCCTAAAAATTCAGACCTCAGGCTGAGTCTTTACAATGCAGAAAAATATTATACAAATCTAATACACAATATAAGCACAATATTATATATCAGATAATATGTGATTAACATACAAATAGAATACCCAAAACACCACATGAAATATGAATTAGGACAGGTTTGACAAGCATTCGTCCAAGTTATAGCAATTGATAAAAAAGAACTGAATATCTTAATATTGATTCAGCCTATATGAAAATATAGCAGATAAATTTTAGTAGTTATGCTTGTAAAACTTGGCAATTAACCTGAACTCCTTCAGAATTTTTATTCCCAGAATCCATAAATGGAAGCAGTACAATGCATTTCACTATGAAATCATGCAACCCCAGGAATGTTGTAGAATAACTGGAAAGGTATTTTCATCTGCTACCATTTAATATCAGTGGAAGTACAGGAATTAAAATTACAATACATTAAACAATAAATGTTCATTCTTTTTTTTTTCTTTTTTTGGAGAGGTTTTTGCTATAGGGTGCGTGCACTCGCCAGACAGACAGAGAAAGACAGAGAGACAGAAAGCAAGAAATCACCCCCCAGGAGGGATGGCCATGCCGCAATCCCTTCTCCTCCATTCTCCTCTTGGGATCTTGGACACACACGCACACCCGGCGTGAGTTTAAGCCACTAGGTCCGGGACTCAAACCGCGGTCGACTATGTGGGAGTCCAGTGACATAGCCATTATGCTAACTGCTGGTCTCAATAAATGTTCATTCTATATTGACTTTTAAAAGCAGACTATACGGGCACGTGTGCGTGCGTGCCCAAGATCCCGAGAGGAGAATGGAGGAGAAGGGATTGTGGCGTGACCATCCCCCCTGGGGGGTGATTTCTCGCTTTCTGTCTCTATGTCTCTCTCTGTCTGTCTGGCAAGCGCACGCGCCCTACAGTGAAAATTTCTCAAAAAAAAAGCAGACTATAGTAAAGGAAAGGTTTAGAAATTAAAAATAAAAATCTATGGAAATATTAAGTTTCAGAATCCATTTCAGACAGTGAGACTTTGAAATGCTATTCTCGAAATTTCATTTCCTCCAACTGTGAAAATGGCGATGATGGGAATTATAAACGCTATCATATCAAGTGAATTAGTAGGTAATGCAGCAAAGTCATACAATTCTTTGCACAAAGATACAATTTTTTAAAGACATGGACTGCATTCAAATAATTTTTACATATGTGATGTATCTGGGGGAAAAAGACAAACAGAACTGCAGGAATAGACAACTTGAATAAGAATAGATGCTTATGGGAGAACCTATGTGGTGTACTCAGTAATGTAGCAAATTGCAGAGCTGGAGGCCACATGCCTACTGTAGTCTGAATCCCTGCAGGTGGGTCTGAAAACATGCTGGGCACCACACATGCCCCAAAATCCCAGCGGGCTGGAGAACTGGAGGAAAGGGATAGTGGTCCGATCAAGCCCTGTGAAGGGTAATTTTTTCTCTCTCCTATTTCTCTCATGTGTGCATACACTGTATCATGAATTTAAAAAAAAAAAAAGAAAAAAAGAAAAAATACACGGCAGTTAATATGTACAGATAACAGAACAGGGAATTGATAGTACAAGTTTTTATACTATTATGCTTTATTTTATGAATAGTGTCAATGTCATTAATCAATGTCATTAATCTCACTTATATATCTGGAGCAGAACTGTTCTTGCTATGGGCTCAAAAGCAGGTAAGTATTTGGACAAAGAAGCTGACCACTAGAACAACAGGAATGGGTGGATTTAGGCACTGTCAGCCAGAAAGAAAGAAAAGAAAGAAAGAAAGAAAGAAAGAAAGAAAAAGAAAGAAAGAAAGAAAGAAAGAAAGAAAGAAAGAAAGAAAGAAAGAAAGAAAGAAAGAAAAAAAGAAAGAAAGAAAGAAATAGGATTAGAGTTGGGTATGATAAAAAAGTTAAGCACTGCAGTGAATCAGATATAACTCCTTGGTTGCTTACTGGGAAATTAAATAAATGACAGATGTCTCTGTTATTGGAAAGTAGAACACAGGGAGGACAAATGGCTTGATATTCAGGATGTTTAACTCCAGCTGGCAGCAGAAATTTAGTGAAATAGCTGATGACGAGCAAAGCAATACAAAGAGCTACAAACAGGGTTAGAGGAGGCAGGAAGTGAGTATCTCACAGGTGAAAAATGGTACTGTACTATTTTTATTTTTCTGAATGCACAAAGCTTTTTATGTACCTACCATTCTAGTGTTGATGAAAAGATGAAAGCAAAGAGTACCATGTCTGTTCATAAATGTCATCATCTGTGAAAATTCTTGAACATGGTCTGTGTACATATAATAGAGTAAAACAGATTTTTCTTTGGCCAGAGTATTTAGATTTAGCAAGCTAGCTAAGCTTATTCCAGACTTCTTTATGAAAGAATGTGAGTAACAAGAACAGTTCTTAGCACTGCAGATAACAAACCACAAACATCAGTACATGGCAAAAGAACTTTAAAAATACAAATACCTACAAAATATTTTTGAAATATTTAAGTGTATGGGTAAGTAGATCATTTAAAATTTCAGAAATAAACTTTGCAAATCATTACTATGCTTTAGAAATGTAAAACTTAATGTTCCTTTGCCCTTTCAAGGTTATAGATCCCTAGATGTTGAGGTTCTTGGGCAAACATGCTTAAGTGTAATAAGAAAAGCAATCCCCATCAAAAATTATACCAAAGGTCA